CTCAGAGTTTAAAAACACCTAGAACATTTGACGAAGCACCAAAATGCTGTTTGGTGGCATATTTTTTAATTGATCAAGATCCTCAAGAAAGGGGGCTCCTAACGTGTTGGGTCACCTTCGTGCAAGAGAGCCGTGTAAAGACAGAGCAGATGAAGGGCATTCTCATCATCTTCTCCAGAGCTGCGACAGTTATGATTGAAGGGGAGATTTAATCTTACCTTATAGTGACCTGCAAGTAAATCTACCATAAGACTGACATCTCTTTAGAGCATCTCAATGAGAATATTGGATTTCCTGAAAGTGGCCGGATTGCATATAGATGCTTGCATATCTTCAAATCTTTCCATCTTTTATTAGAAGTTTCAGCATAGAAAGAACTCAGTAACAATTTGCATGATGTTAACGATATGCCTAGATTACATAGGTGTTCCGAGTGAGATCTGAAGCACCCTTTCTGGCTAGCTTATCCGCACTGCAACTGCCGAAAATATCTCTATGATATTGCAGATTTTATAGTTAATAACTATTGTTTAATGTTTTAATTAAAAACGAAAATAAAAATTATGAAATATATTAGAAAATATTTTCTACAAGCAAAAGCGTTGAAGTGTTACGGGTTTATTTCTTAGTTTGAGTCCAAAAATTATACACGAACAATTAAATCAACAGATTTTTTCTAAGACACGGGGTAGCTCCTATGGATATGACATGAGCAATGGAGATTATATTTATATTGAAATTAAATAACGATTTTATATTCACTCCCAATAATATTATCTAAGTAAAAGTCTCTGAGTTCTTAATTTTAAAGGGAACAGAATTCTGAAGAAATTATCTTAATGAATTCTGGTTAAAATAGTTAATGACATTAGTATTGACAAACAAATCCATAAACAAGGTAACCACCTACTTAGTTAATTAGGAAGTAATTTTCACATTCAAGACGTCTTGAGGATGATGAGTTATTTGCCGACTTATTTGTGTTTATATTTGTGTTTGTGTTTGTGTTTCTCACACCATTCAATAAGTGCGCCAAGTATAGGAAACCAGAGTATGTTTTAACAGTGAAAGATACTCGCTGGCATTCGTTAAAGGTTAACAAAGGAATTTTTATTAATTTATGATGTTGACATATCACTTAAATTTCTTATTTAAGAAAAGCACACAAATTGCTTAAAACAGTGAAGAGAAACATACGAAACACGGATTCTACGTGAAAGAGGTTCTATATGCAGAACGTTATATGCTGTGACATAAAAATTTTCCCAAGCCTATGGAAATATGGGCGGCGTAATTTAAATATTCAGCAACTATGAGAAGAACGTGGAAGACGTGCCGGTTACTAGAACATAGAAGAAGCTATTCGAGTGAACTGAGAAAATGTCAATAAGGAATTATAAAGAATGACAGCGCCAAAGTTCCTCATAAAGCTAACAGAAGACGTTGAAAATTCTGTTTCTGATTATGTCAATAATCAAAGATTGTATACTTTTTATGTAATTTTAGTTTTTTGTTTTTTGTTGTTTTTCTGACATTCTTTATCTAATGGCAGTACGAGTATTTATTTATTGCCTATTTGTATTATGTAATTTGGAAAGCAAGCAGTGTTAATGGCATCCGCCGCAGTGGATTTCATTATCGGGCAGATATGTTCGCGCTTTTGTTTGTTTTGCTCCGTTTTGAAAACGCAAATAGTGCAACAGTATTGATTGGTAAACAGATACAAAGTGAGGTGTTTAGATACATTTAAGATACAGTAATAGCGAGATAGGGAAAAGTATCGGACAGACAGACTGACAAACAGAAATGTTTTCAGTAATCGTTTACTCATTATCAACACCTTATATGACAGCTCATTTTCCACCTGATATCGGCTTATGAAATTGTTGTCTTTCCCTTCCTATGTTGTTGTTGTTATTCTTATTATTTTGTTGTTGTTTATCCGTTGGCTGTTGTAGTTTTCATACCGTCCTGACCGCTGACCTGCGTTTATTTTTTTATAACAGCGCATTGTGTGCGCCGTATAGTGTTTAATCAATGATTATATTTTGTATCTTATTTTATATCTTGTCTTATATTTTCATAAATAAATTTTGGTTTTATTTTACTTGGTTTGTTGCATTGTTTTTGTTTGATTTTTTTTTTACTGTTGGTTTTAGGTCTTTATTTACTTGGCTTGGGCTGAGCTCAATATTGCGTATAATTCGTACATCTCTGAAAAATGCACACGCATCTGCGCTTAATCATATTTTTATGATTTTCAACGTGGAATGTCTGTCTGAGATAAAGATGTAGGAAACCATCGAAACCATCGAAACCATAAACCCGAAAAATGTATGCGGTAAGAAGAAGAAAAACCCAAACTCATATCCGCTTTTATTTTTCAAAGTGTGCCCATTAAATTAAGTCTGGCCACCTTGTTTACGCTTTTTGTTGCTTTGTTCAATGACATTTTAATTGCTTTATTATTTTTATCCATTCTTTTTTTTATTTTTTTTTTTTTGAAATTATGTAAAATATTTTTCTTTGTTTATTCTTTTATTTGTTTGTCGTTTTTGTACAAAAATCGTAAATTGTGGTATTTTTCTAGGTTTTTGTGCGAAGTTACATAATTTCGGTTATCAAAGTTGCATTTGGCATGTGTCAGACAGGCTTTTCCCTCGTTACGTTTCCGTTGTTGTACATTTTTTTATTTAATTGTAGAAAATTATTTTCTATTTTTTTGTACAATTTTAATTAAATAAAAACAAAAACTAACACAGAAATGACCAATATATTTACGTAAAGCACCTCGAGAAGTGAGTCATATGGCAGTTTAAGACAGAAAAAATTTTGATAGACCCTTATTTTGGGTAGCTCAAATGACACGCCATGACAATTGAAAAAGAAAAAAAATTTACAAACAAAAAGAGAACAAAAAATCGGAAATCTTGCATATATGGTAGACGTCAGGCTAAAGAGGTAGCTTTAACATTATCTGAGTCACACTAAAGATTTCAGTATGTTACCACTGATTATAATTATGTTTAGTGCCAAAAAGCGATGAAGAAAAGTGTAGGATATAGATAGAAAGAGAGACAAAGAGAACTTCTGATAACACCAAATTAAAAAAGTACAACAAAACTCAATACGCTATCTTATGGTGTTCTCAATTGGTCTAGATTCAATCTAGATTTACTTTCGATCTGTCAAATGTTGTTGAATTTATCCCAGATGCTCGGTCCGTTATATTTTAGACTCTTAAAAAATATAAGCTGTTTTTTAGGTTCAATGATTCTAAGTAAAATTTACTCCCGATGTAGAAAATAAAGATGAAATGAAAAAAAAGAAAGCAAGGTAGGAGTTAGAAAACAAGGATTGGGAATAAATAAATAAAAATGAAGGATTAGCTATTAAAAGATTGTTCGAACGATTCTTAATACAAGTTAGTTTAAATAACAGAAATGAAGGAAAATATGATATAAATTGTAACCACTAGTATTCAAGTGTAGCAAAAATTGCAAAAATTAACGTAATCTAAGGTGTTCTATAAATCTGAAAGGAATCGTCATCATTTACAGGCTAATAATCTTTTAAGGAGCCAGACCAACTGAAAAATCTCCCTTAACTAACAGTTATTCCTGCCACTCTCAAAACATGCATCTGTAATGTTTTTAGATCAGTCTTAATTCCGACCATACACTTCTTTCTCGTTAGTATTTTATGCTCCCTTTTTATTTTTTTCATACTCAACGCAATCTGATCTTTTTCGTAACATATGGCATCGTGTCACTATCTATTCAACTATAATAATAACTTCTGCTGTTAACATTACTTTCTTTAGTCGTCAAAAATGTGCTTTGCAGCACTATTTTTTTAATATGAGAAATTTACATATCTCTTTTGCTGTTATTCATTATAATCAGCACTCACGCAAGGCTACTAGTTGCAATGGTGTCTTATATGAGTATATTTTAAGTCTATGTGTGAGAGAGATCGAAAAGGAAAAAAGGAATAAGCTAACCCCAAAAGACTCTTTGGGGTAGATCTTTTCATTGCGCCTAGATCTTGGTACCAATAAATATTGCTTTAAAAGCAAACAAAAAGTTCTTACACATATACCACAACAATGTGAATGTTCTTAATGAGAATAGCGTGCCGCCAAAAATATTTTCATATGTTCCGTTCCATAGGTTCAATATCCCTGGATTAGAACAATGATAATTGAAAATAAAATATGGCAAACTCTGGTGGCAATAAATATTGACAATAAATA